CGTGGAGTAGGCACTAATTCAGTATGGCTGATGTCCTTCTAAGAAGAGAAGAGACACAGAGACAGGTACAGACACAGACGGAGATGAGGTGGAGATTGTCATGCGATGGTGAGGACGGAGACTGGAGTGTGTCTGCAAGGCAAGGAGTGCCAAGGACTGCCAGCGACACCAGAAGCTAAAAGAAAGGCATGGAACAGCTGGGCGCAGCGGCTCACGCCTGTAATCCCAGCACTTTGGGAGGTGAGACGGGCGGATCACGAGCTCAGGAGATAGAGACCATCCTGGCTAACATGGTGAAACCCCGTCTCTACTAAAAATACAAAAAAAAAAAAAAAAAAAATTAGCCGGGCTTGGTGGCGGGCGTCTGTAGTCCCAGTTACTTGGGAGGCTGAGGCAGGAGAATGGTGTGAACCTGGGAGGCGGAGCTTGCAGTGAACCAAGATCGCACCACTGCACTCCAGCCTGGGCGACAGAGCCAGACTCCATCTCAAAAAAAAGAAAAAAAAAAAAAGAAAGGCATGGAACAGATTCTCCCCTACAGGCATGAAGGAGATCACTGCTCTGCCAGCACCTTGATTTCAGACTTCTCGCCTCCCAACAGTGAGAGAATACATTTCTATTGCTTTATTTGTTACAGCAGCCCTAGGAAACCAACACATTGGCCAATCAGGGGATGAGCGCCTAGAAAAGAAGGACGCTCCCCCTACCCATCTTCCCACCCCTTCTCACTTCTCCCACAGCACATCCAGACTATGAAAACCTGAACTTCCTCTCACATTTCCTAAGTTTCCCCAAATTTTAACAACTTCTCTAAACATTTCCTTGATTTTCCAGGGATTTTCAAATCTAGCTTTGTGCGAACAAGAAAACATGAATTGCATTGATCCTCTTCACATAGAGACAAAAAGATGCCAGCTGCTCATGCCTGCAAACCATTTCTTCACAGCGATAACTCAGATGCAACTTTTCCTCCTTGGTGAAAGACAGTGTGACTTGCGGTCTGTGAGAAGGAAAAGGAAAAACAGTTGATTTGTTTTCCCATGAGAGGGAAAAAGAAGGAGGGGATACAAGCCCACACACTGTTAGGTGGATAGATCATTTCCTCTACTGAAAAGATACATGAATAATTTGATCTCTAAGCATTAGCAAGGTCTTTGTAGGGTAGGTAGTGAGGATCACATGCATGAAGCATTCATTGCTCACTGAAGGAAGATCTTGAAATGAGTGCGTGGATCCACAATTCATGTAGATTGCTGCTATTTCTGTCTTCACTGCATGCTGAGCATGAGGGACTCTGGGTAGGAGAGCTCTTCTGGCAGAAGGAGGGGTTTAGAGAGCAAATCTCTTGCCTGTAAATTGCTGAGGATTCTTCTTCTGGAGACCTGTATATAAAGTAGAGAAAGTTAAGAACATCAGAGTGGGGAAGCTGCAGGGTGAGCTTTCTTTCTTTCATAATTCCAGACTTGGGGTTTAGTTAGGGAGGGACTGTCAACAGGTTTCTTGGGGAGACTTGAGATAGGGCAAAATAGCAGCATAGTGATGAAGAACCAGCATGTGTGCTCTATGGCCAGGCGGTCTGGGTTCACATTCTTGTTGCTTACCAGGTGGGTGACCTTAGACATTTCACTTAACCTCTCTGCGCCTTAGTTTCCTTATCCATAGAATGGGGTCAATGATAACATCTACCTCTTGTCGTAGTTACAGGGATTAAATGAGTTAATTCAAATAAAGCATCTAAAGCCATGTCTGACATGGTTATCATTGCACACATTTTACTGTCATTACTAAATATATCTTATTGAAATGGTTAACTGTGTCCCGATGATGCCAAGTAAGGAATCGCTCCCAAGCTAGTGGCTTAAAACAAGCACCATTCATTCCTACAGAGCCGTGGGTAGACTCTGTGTAGCTGGGTTCACTCCAGCTACACTGTAGTTGGGGTTGGCTGGGGTTGGCTGGGGATGGCTCTGCTCCACAGGGCTTCCACTCTTTTCCTGAGAGCAGCCGGCATGTGCTTCTCATGCCATGTGCTTCTCAGAGGTGCATGCAGGCTTCTTGAGGTTTGGCTCAGAACTGGCATACCATAGCATCGACCTCACTCTCCTGACCAAAGCAAGTCACATAGTCAAACCCAAAGAGGCAGGGAAGTGGGGAGGGACTGTAAGTTACCTGCCAAAGGGCATGGATCGAAGAGGCTGAAGAGCTGATGCCAATAAAGGAACTACTAGGGTGTGGTTTTTTTTTTTAATTGTTATTATTGTCATTTAAACAGGAAGTATTGAATTGAGAATCAAGAATGAGATACTGTATCTTATCTTCAACTCATAAGTTGACCTTGGGCAAGTCACTTCTGCTCCCAGATTGAGAGGGGTAATTCTAACTGACTCAGGCCTCAACTCAGACCAACCTCTATATATCCAAAGAAGTTCCTCACTGGCCACTCCTAGCTCTGGACATTTAGGTAAATAAGTGTGTGTGTGTGTGTGTGTGTGTGCGTGTGTTAGAGGTGGAATCTTATCTTTGTTGAAGTCCTCAGACAACCTCCCTATCAGAGCAGCATTTCTAAAAGGACTTTTCTAGGAATGACTTCTTGGTACTTTATACTATTAGGCTATGCTAAACCCTACAGTTAACACAGTGACTAAGGATGCCTAGAAATGGCAGGATTTGGGAGGGATGTTATCTTAGTTACCCAAGAGCTGGGCCCAATTACCAATGGGGGAGGGATCTTAAAGAGACAGTGCTGCTTGCTGCAGTCATTAAGCTTTCCTGCTCAAGGTTTTTGTTTCCCCTTCTGCACTCAAGTGTGTGTTTAAGGAGAAATCCCCTTGACGACGAACTGCTATTAAAATCCTCCATGTGGAAGCAGCCTACGAGGGGAGAACACACACAAGCCAGCGCCAGGAGCCAGCGCTGGCCTCTTTCCTCGCAGAAGTAGCAGCTAGAAAACTGCACAGTGGATGAGTGATGGCAAAGAGACTCAGGAACCCACTTCATCTTCCTGTGTCTTCACCCCTGCTCTCTCCATCCTCAAAAACCTGAGTGTCAGTCCACTCTCTTGAGGATCCTGGTTCTGTGTTTCAGCTGAGAAACAGAGAGAATAACCATATCTTTCAGAGTCTTTGTCAATAGCTTTCAAACTTTTTTAAACCAAGAATTATGTGTAATTAATATTATTGTAGCTTTTATTCTTTAAATGATAAATAATAGTTGTATGTATGGAGTACATAGTGATGTTTTGATACATATAATGTATAGTGATCACAGCGGGGTAATTAGCATATCCATCATCTCAAATAGTTCTCATTTCTTTATGTTTCAAACTTTAAAAAAAAATTTTTTTTGAGACAGAGTCTTGCTGTGTTACCCAGGCTGGAGTACAGTGGTGCAATCTTGGCCCACTGCACTTTCTGTCTCCCAGACTCAATGATCCTCCCACCTCAGCCTCCTGAGTAGCTGAGGCTACAGGCACATGCCACCACACCAGGCTAATTTTTGTATTATTTGTAGAGACAGGGTTTCACCATGTTGTCTAGGCTGGTCTCAAACTCAAACTCCTGGATTCAGGCAATCTGCCCACATTCTGCCCACATTGCCTGCCCACAGGCAATGGGCCTCCCAAAGTGCTGGGATTACAGAGCAAAAGCCACTGCGCCTGGCCTGTTTCAAAGTTGTTGTGTGTTTTTTTTTTTTTTTTTTTTTTTTGAGACGGAGTCTTGCTCTGTCGCTCAGGCAGGAGTGCAATGGCACAATCTCGGCTCACTGCAACCTCTGCCTCCCAGGTTCAAGCCATTCTCCTGCCTCAGCCTCCCGAGTAGCTGAGATTACAGGCACTCGCCACCACGCCTGGCTAATTTTTGTATTTTTAGTAGAGATGAGGTTTCACCACATTGGCCAGGCTGGTCTCGAACTCCTGACCTCAGGTGATCCGCCCTCCTTGGCCTCCCAAAGTTCTGGGATTACAAGCCTGAGCCACCATGCCCGGCTCAAACTTTTGGGATGTCAACTCACGCTAAGAATGGCACCATGCCCAGTGCACACATATATGTAACTGAAACAAAAGCTTCACAAGACACCACTTACCCTTACTATATGTGATATACTCTGATATTTTCTGTCCTATTATATTAAAAAAAATAGTTCTAGTGATGATACATTCTACTGATTTCTTATTGCACTAATGGGTCACATCCTGCAGTTTGGAAAACTCTGGGCCAGGTCAAAGGTGTGTATTGACAGATATGGGCAGGGGGAGATGGGGCTTAAATAAAACTCTTTAAGACCTACAGACCTCATGCTTGTCTGAAACAAGAGACAGCTGGTTAGAAGAGAACCCAGAAAGGGTGTTGATGAATGAAGCAGCAGGATCTGTTCAGATTACTTTGAATTTGGGGCACATCACCAGTGTAAAGCCATTCTGCGCTATAAGGGTTTCTCTGGCACAGGATTAGAAAGACTACTGGAGATAAATGAATGTAATGTTTCCCATTCCTTTTGAAATAAATATACTTAAGTTTTAAAAGGGGAGTTAGCTTAAATTATTCAATAAGTGAAAGTAAAGATGAGATTCCACTAATGTAGTTATAAACATGGCAAGAGTCTGAAGGAAGCTACTGGAGCCTATTGATAGAAGTCTAACCTCTCATGGTACAGTCTGGGGAATGGTACCATGGATCAGGCAATGATTGCCAAATGCCCAAAGTTAGCATTCAGGCTAGTGATAGCTCCAGGTCTCCTGGTGTCCAAATGTTCCTTCTTTGCTCTCAGGGCCTTAGTTTTGTCATCTGTTAAGGGGATTGTTATGATCACAAGCTAGATGAGACACGGAGAATTCCAAATTGTGAATACAGAAGCAGGTCTGCAGGCTGATTAGTATAGTTATGTTTTGTCTGGCCCTAATCTCAGGAGCAGGGGTCTACCATGTGTACATGTTTACCCATGTTTCCAGGTGACTTCCAGGACCTCATCCTGAATGTAGTTGTGATGACAAGATGATGTCATCCATGACCTAACAGACTGTACTGTGTCAGGATTCAGCTATGCCTGGTGCTGCTGGACTAGGTCCCAGTCTGGGTCTCATAAGGAAGGATTGACTTGTGTGTGGCCTCCAATGCAGTTTCACTTGTCTTCAAAGCCCTCTGCAGAATGTAAGTAAAAAGCAGATCCTGGAATTGCCCTTGGCTAGGTGAGCAGCCAGGGGCCACACACAGAAAATGGTCTGTTCCTGGTGGCCTTCAGAAAAGCCAGTCACACTCACCACCCCCTTTGTCGTAGTCCCTAGCTTCAGAAAGCACTGGAGCCAGGTTGACACGCGGCCCACTAGTCTTTGTTCAACTTGAGCTCAGATGGACACAGAAACATGAGAGGAGCCAAGTCCTATGTTTAAACAGTTAAGAGGAAGCCCGGCTCAGTAAGGAACTACTACAACCCGGGATTTAGCCTGGGCCAATTTTCCTTCTCTGGGATTTCCTGTCCTTTTTTGTAGATGTTTCTATCTATCGAATGTTCCCTGGTTGTTGGTTGAAGGCCATCAAGTCAGTGGTGAAAGAAAGCCTTACCCAGTACTTACACAGTACTTGAGCTTAGCTGCGAAAGTATCAACGAGCTGCCGAACTGTGTGGACCCCAAGCCAGGCTGATGGGACACACGCGCCAGGCCTCTGTCCATCTGCCCTTCACAGTGGAAAGAGAGCCCAAATTTTAAGACTGGGCTTAACGAAAGCATCCACACAAAGAAGTCCAGCCTGCTACCCCAACAACTGCCTGGGGGGCAGTCCACGTTGGGGTTGGTAGGGGACAGAAAACCGGTGGGTCTTTAAGGAATGCCAAAGAAGTGAACCCCAAAGGCCTCCTGCAATGTCCTCAGACTGCAGTTAAAATTTAACAAATTTTTAATGTAAATCATCTGGCATACTCAATTGCATGGGGTGCACGGGATGGGTGGGAGTGAGGGTGGCAGCAGGGAGGGAACAATGGCTAGGATTAGATAATTTACTTACTGCTAAAATTCCAGGAAGTTTGTGTTGATCTGGGCCTGGATCTTGTTACTTTTTAGCTCCAATCTAAATCTTTATCTTCCTTTAAGAGTTGAGAGGACATTTATTACGTCGTCATTTTTACAGTTGTAATTTTTACCCCCTTTCATCAAATAGAGCTGGTTAGATTAGCAGCTCTTAGCACGGACATGAAAATATTGGTAGGGTCCAATGGGTCCTGTTTTGTTTATTCTAACAGAGCAGGCTTTGATCTAGACATATTTCCTGGGGTCTGGACGAGATGACCTAATTCCTGTCTTATCCGTCTCTACTTCTCTGTGAATCTCAGATTGCGCTTTACTATGGAGCCCTTTGAAATTCACTTTACACTTTTTCCACTTTGTTACCCCCTCTGACATTTGTTTCATTTGGGGTAGAGTGTGTAACTCCTAGTAAAGAATCCATTGCTTTATTTTTCTAACAGGACTGCTAAGTTTTAACAGAGTGGGAGCTTTTTTTTTTTTTTTTTTGGTTCTCTCATTCTTGACATTCACGACATGCCAAAAATAATAAGCAAATGATCTACTGCTAGAAATTTATGTCAACTGCAAATCATTTAGAATTTTCTGTTTGAAGACCTTTTTCTCTTATAATTAAAAAAAAAAAAAAGCCCTCCTGCCACTCCCTAAAAAGGCATTTGAAAAGACCTGGCCTGTGAAGATTGGGATGTGAAAACTCAAAGCGCAAAGTCAGCTTCAGGTATCTCCAGTTGATCTGCAGGACCCCTCCCTTACACTACCCATCCTTTCCCCAACCAGACCCGGGGGGGAGGGGTCATCTCGGGCAGCTTGGGTCTGTCATTGGTTCTCTCTTTCTCTCTCTCTTTTTTCCCTCCCCAGGTCCCTGTCAATCACCAAACTGCTCTTCCAAGTATATTTTCCAGAAAGAAGGAAGCCCGTGGGGAATGGGTGGAAAAGGAAGGGTAGTGGAGATGGTGGGAGAAGGAAAAAAGAAAAAGGACGACGAAATATAAGAAAGGAAAGAGAGAGAAGAGAATGAGAGAATGACCGCTACCCAGGCAGAGAGGAAGAACAGGAAACGCGGTTCCTGGGGACAGGTGGGGGAACAGCAACAACAACAAAAACACCTCGAATAAACTACAAGTTCCTAACGTTTGTAAATTTTGAGTGATAGGCACAAGGAGTTTCTTAAGTTCTTCTCTGGGCTGTTCTGTATTTTTACAATTCCCCCTTTTAAAAAAAAGCTGGGGAAACTCTCACCAAAGTGAGTATTTTTAGATAAAAAATTCTGTGAACTTAGTTGCAGCCACAATCCTTCCTTAATTCAGTGAATTCGGTTCTCGGTGATTCCAATACCACCACAAGGCACCTCTAGTGAGGCATAGCGGGGCAAGGGTCGGGGAGTAGGTGAGGAAGGGGTGCGTGCCCCTAGGCTGCCTTCACCTCAACCCTGTTGCTTTATAAATGTAAATCCAGTTCTGTTCTGCGGGCCGAGCCCAAAGGCTGAGTGTATTTTTCACACTGGGAGGAGAAGCAGGGCAGAGGGCGATTTCTTATTTCGGAAATGGATGGAAAGGGGAATGAGTGGGCAGGTAATAATCAATACATTAGAAAGATAATCAATAAATGGATAAGCAGGGACAAAAGGAGGCAGAGAGAAAGAGAGAGAGAAGGGAGGAGAAGAGGGGGTTGGAGAGAGAGAGAGAGAGAGAGACGGATAGACAGACAGAGAGACCCTCCAACCTTTTCCTAAACTCTTCTGATGCCTCCGGAAAGAAGAGTGACTTTTGCTTCCCTTAACTCACTTTCAGAAACCGCTGGAAGGTGGGAGGGTGGTGATGAGAGGGAAGGGAACACAGCGCCCCCGCTCCCCTCTCCCCACCGACTGCCTCTTGGAAATGGACGGGCAGCCCAAGGTGGTACAAGGCGGTGACCTTCGCGCCTGGTCCGGCGTGCGGGAGCCCCGGGGACCGGGTGGCGACGACCATTGGAGAGCGGGGTCCAGCTGCTGGCGGACGCTCGGTGGAAGGTGTCGCGGGACAGCCGCCTGGACGCCTTCAGGGAGGGCCGGCGAGGCGCCGGGCGTGTGGAGCAGGGGGGCACTGTCGAAGCCTGCCCCTCTCGGTGGGCGGCAGCCCCCCGGATCACTTCCCTCAGATGTCCCCAGGCCCTGTCCCTGGGCGCAAAGAGCGCGCAGCCCGGGGCAGCCCCTCCTCGCCACGCCCAGCGATGGGAAGGTGTGAACGTCGTCTGTGCAACGGAAACAGCTCCATCTGGCCCGCGCAGAACTAGAGCTCTGGCTGGAACTCCGGCCTTCAATCCGTGTCCCCACTCTTGGGGAAAAATGGTCACTCCTGGAGCAGAGGGGATGGGACAGGAGAGGGGAGACCGATAAATCTGCCCCTCTGAATGTTCGGGTGCGGGGCCTTCGGGGTGATTCTCAGCATCACTTACGACGTCGTCGCGCAACCCCCTTCCCTCACCCCCCGCCTCCCTCTCTGTCTTTGGGGGCTCCTATCCCCTCCCCTGAACTCTCACGGCCCAGGTCAGCGCCCACCTTCCGGAACGCCAGACCTGGACCTGGAGGCCAAGCAGGGGTTGAGGGCGACCCCTCGGCACAGAGGTCTAACGACAGGGTCAGGGGAGTGCGGCCCCGAGTGGGCCGCGCCCTGGTGGAAACTTCTGCGGGAAGTGGCCTGACGCTTTCTACCTTACCTGGGCACAACCGCCAGATGCGCGGTTCACAGCATTAAACAACTTACAAAAAAATTTAAAAAAAGAAAAAAAATCCGGCGACCCTTTTGGACACAGCTTTCCCTTCAGTCGTTTGCTCACCTCAAAATAGTGCTCAGGAGGAAGAAAGCCTGTTCCCCCCCTCCACCCCAGAACAACCTGGAGAGGGGAAGAATCCATTTGAATTCGCATGATGAAATATTCAAGCTGACTCTACGTAACCTTTCTAATAGACTTTTTCTTTCAAATATGCATGTGCGTTTAAATGCCTAAAAGACCAATCAAATAAAGAACATGTTGACCTCTCTGGGTTGAGGCCCAGTTTGAGTCAGATTATATAACCCAGCCGCATCAGGAACTCCCCAGCAATGTGGCTCTCAGCTGTCTGAAAAAACGTGACTGCTTTAAGTGAAATAAAACCAGAACAGTAAAAGTGAAATCTAAATCGGCATAAATATTTTGCTTAAAAGAAACTTACCTGTTGGGATAAAACCTCCAACATCTTTTTATGTCATTTCGTTGTTTCGTTTTTCTTGGGGGTGGGGTGGGTAGTGGAGTCTATAAACTCTATTCCTAAATAAGTCATGGATACTGGGAAAATATCTAGGGCCTCCAAATTTCAAAATAAAAGAAAATGCAGGCCCATGCAAAGCCATTTCTGTTATGCCTTTTACAATTCCTCATTTAAAGAGGGATACACACTCACATACACAATTGACTGCTGCCTGGGGAAATGTTAAAATGCATTTAGGGGCCTGGCTAAATGGAAATGCACTCTAAAAACACAGACACAGTATACTGTTTTATCTGTTGCAAAAAAAAATGTATTTGATTACTTGAGTAAAATTACAGTATCTCTGTTGTTAGTAAGTATTAAATGTTAAAGAAATTGGACCCCCCCCTTTCCTTTCAACTTTCCAAGAAAGTGCATGTAACAGTCCAATTTTTTTCTTCCATACCTAATACAAAATAAACAAACACTATACCTGCTCTCTTGATCAAGAAGCATTTGCTCTTGTAAGGAACATATGTACATTTGAATGAAAGTGATATTTCTTATTGTATATACAAGAGCATCTACATTTTCTCCACTGAAGGTTGTTCAAGATGCTATACTTAGCAGCATTGTGAAATTCCAGCACACATTTTCTATCGTGAATATACCTACAAGGCAAAATGTTACGTCTCAGTTTCAACTACCAAAACAACACTTGTTTTTTCTCTAAAGAATTCTGCGTGCTTATTACTGTACAGAAACTTATTAACATTGAAGACGACTCAAGTAAAAAGCACGATACAAATAGCAGTTCAAAATGGAAATGGTTAAATCTACAAAAAAAAAAAAGTTTGAATTTTAGAATAAAAATCAAAAAACCAAACCTTTCAAAGACCCACACTGTTCAGTCTGTACTTTAAGTCTTTTCCTTAAATCTGTTTTGAAAGATTAGACAATGTGTTTGCTGATAAAATTTTCCAGCAGGATCAAAGTGTACATGTATATACAGACTTTATTAGAGATCTAATGCATCACTGAGGCATTGCATCAACACCAGATTCATATTAAACTGGATATAGAAAATAAGTTAATGCCAGATTACAACTGCCTAGCAGGGCAACTTGCAATTGCCATAAATGTTACAGCAAGTTTACAGCACTCTAGTCAATTAGTATTTAGTCCAAAATACAGAAGACCAAAGTTAACGCTTGCATTCTGTTTGCAAAGCAAGGTTATATCACTAATAAATAAGCTTTCTTAGAACTCTAAAGTTGAACAAGGTACAAAAGAATGTCTTCATAATGTTGTAGTTCATAGATCTGGGGAACATGAAGGAAGGGGCGGGATGGGGGGGAGGGCAAGGAGTAGGAGGCCACCATAGGTCGCGTTCTGAACAGGAATGAATGCTATGTCTCCAGCCCGAGCTGCTTTAACTCGTGACGATCTCCTTGCTGTCCTCCACGAAGCGGGTGAAGCGGAAGTTGGTTCCGTTCTCACTGCTTGCCATTTTCTCCAGGCCGGCCAGGGGAGCATTGGGCTCTGAGTTCTGGAGCCTCTCCAGGTTTCCTGTCAGCCCACTAATAGGTGAGCTGTTCCCACTGCCGAGGCTTCCAGGAATTGGAGGGATGCCACCATTCTGAATGACGGAGATCTCGTTGGCCTTCATCGCCAGCCCGTTGGAGAGCGCTGCTGCATACTGATTCCAGAAGCTGGAAGGATCCCCACTTCCTGATCTTGCCGCCAAATCCTTCTGGAACATTTCTGGGAACTTGACGGGATTGCCTCCTAGAAATGTCATGGGGCCATCCACAGACAGCCGCCGACCCCGTCGTGCAGGGGTGCTATTCCACATGTGAGTGCCCATGTGTACCTGAGATATGGGGAGGGCAGGCAGACAGAGAGAGAGAGAGGGGGGAAAAAAAGAGGAGGGGGAGAGAAGCTTAATAGCTGAATCTGTCTCAACTCATATCCCAAATGTCCACAAAGCAAGTGGCCTAAATGCCTATTCTCATCATGTGATAGACAGTGAAGGCAACAGGAACCATGCATTCCTCCTGTCTAGTAATAACGTGCTCACTCTGCAGCCCTGGGCTGTCTCCCCTCTTCCTGGGAAAGGATGCCTTACTTACTCTTTTTTTATTACCCATATTTAGCTTATAATGGCCTCAAGCAAGCCAGGCAGTGGCGGATAGCTCCTTTCAGGGTTAGAATTGTTATGTCCACTCTCATTGCAATGGTAAGTATTGTATCTGACACCCTTTACCCTATAAATGTCCTTTTCAGATGGGAAGAAGGTATCCCTCCCTGACTGCCCATTGGAGGGCCTGCGTATGGAGAGAAAAGCCAGAAAGTAATTATTCATCTCACAGTACTGGGAGCAATCTCCAGAGAAATACTCTGTCAACAGAAAAATGTACATACTAAGAGCACTCAACTGTTGCTCTAGAACTTAAGCATATTTGCTTTATTTCCAACACATATCAGTAGGAAATGCTGTATAATCAATTATCATAATGCCCATTAGCAGAGCAGTGACGTTACTGTTTTTAGACAAACAAACCATGCTGGACTGCATAGTTATGAAAAATAGATGCAAACGCCGAGAGCCCTAATTATTAAGTGATACAGGCAGCACACAGGCCACATGGAGGTCTTTAATCAATATCCCATGGCAACGCCAGGCTGTCTTCCTTGGTAGGTAAAGCAATTCATTTGGTGCACTTAGCAAGACAACACAGAGGCCGCTCCTTCGCTTAGGTACCAAATTATTCAATGTGCACTGACATTCAGTGAGCTGCAGCTTGCCCCTGTCCCTGCCACGATCCTGACCCTCCCAGGCACCCTCGTTTCTCCCCCGTCAACCATGTGCAGCAGGTTCCCTTGCAAGAGCTCTCTCCCTGAATATCTGGGCTGATGACTCTGGGGGCATGCA